GTCGTCGGTGTTTATGTTAATAATCACAAATTTATATCAATCATTTATATCATTTATATCATTGTCGATAATATTTTTGTTCTTCAATTAGTTCCGAACCCTTTTTATATGAAAAATTTGCTCAGGGTTGATGGTCTTTAATATTTATCTCGTTGGCCCAGTATAAGTACGTATAAGGATTCACTACATCAAAAATGCCGGCGCTCAGTGTCCATACTATATGTTCAGGCTGGACGCATCGAGCAGCGGAGCAGCAACTAATCAGCAAGGCAATATTTGCAGTGATAAAAAATATCGCTTTGCTGGCAGGTTGCTGCCCTGCTGTTTGACGCTTGTTGCGTCCAGTCTGAACTAAACATATAGTATGAACACTGAGCCTCGGCACCTTTGATGTAGTGGGTCCTAGGTCACATGACTCGCCATATTGTGGGCTGGAAAGGTGCTTATAAATTTTTTAATGAAATTATAGAATGATTTTTCTAAAAAAAAAAAAAGACAATTCGGTGGTGTCATAAAAATTGTTTATAGCGAGTATATTTTTAAATCAGAATTATATAATAATATAATGTTAACAAACTCATTATATAAAAATAATATTCACATTAATAATAATAATAATATTAAACAGTAATAAGTAAATTAAAAATAATAATTGATTAAATATTACATGAAAATTGTAATTAAATTATTATGTATGAAAAAATAATACAGGGTGTCCCATTCATCACCGGTCGATTTGAATTTCGCGCTATTTTTAAAACGATGCCGAATCTAAGATTGTGATACGCCTGACTAATTTGCACGCGTTCTTTCACCGTGTACTTTTCCATGATTAATTTCCCATCTGTCTAGATGACATATGTGAAGTTTGAGGTTAATCGGTTTGACGTTTTAAAAATAGCGCGAAATTCAAATCGACCGGTGATGAATGGGACACCCTGTATATTGCATGAATGTTGTAATTAAATGTAAAGTTGTAATTTAATAATGTACGTACACACGCACGCACGCACGCACATAAATGCATTTTTTATTACGAGAATACTTATTACGAGAATACTCGTGTACAAATATAACAGTCTATACAATAGCATCTCCGAAAAAATTTGATTTAATTTTTTAGTAAAACTTAATTTTATTAATCCTTTGCTTTACTTTTCTCTTACAAATTAAAAAAAATTAAGCTTTGTACGAACGACTTAATACTATGGCTCTCATCCGTGATATTTATGTTTGGCCCGATTTTCTTATCACGAGTCTTGATATTGTAGGCAAAAGAGTTAATTATATTTTATAGGAAGAAGATCCAATTAATCTAACCTAACCTGCAATTTCAACTGAAGGCAGCCATATTCCTGGTTGGAAATCGGCGCATGCGCCGACTAAAAGTTGGAGACCACATAAAAAGTTCAGTGTCCGTATTGTATGTACTTATGCTAGACCTGTTTTTTATTGCTGCACTTTCTGAACTAGTACACACAGTGCAATAAGTTAAAGTGAAATAAATGTATATTTGTTTCACTTCAACTTATTGCACTGGTTCAGAGTGCAGCAATAAAAAATAGACCTACTATGTCGTCGATAGTTCGCAGTATAACGATAAAACGAGTTTCCATTCTACGTTCTCGTTCATGGTTGGTCGAAACATGACAGATAGTTCGTGACCTAGTTCACGCAAAAGAAGGAGAAAAAGAGGAAAGTCGCGGTGAATTGTGCATTTTATCATGCCCTTCGAGTCCTTCGACTTCGATGGCATCACCAACGTGAACGCACGATCACGACGACACGATCTCAATTTTTGAGTCGGGCACGGACATCCGGAAGTAAGTGAGGCTATTCATCGCAAAAAGTATTTCTCACGAGTTCTTTCTTTCCTTCCTTGTCACTTTTACTTTCGAAACAGCTGTTCGCGTTGTTCGCGTTTGCTGCAATAGATATCGTTGTTTCTTCTGAAATTGATGAGCTCATGTCTGTCTCTCAGGATATTGCGATTACCTGTCTAATCTATATTGACGTTGCGTACTGTTTGTTCTAGCACAATGTTTCATAACATCGCCTATATTTGCATCTGTCAGACCTCTCAATGAAACAGGCATATACGCACGTATCTACACATGTGAGAATTTCGAAAATACAATACTTTATTCTGAAGAAAGAAGTATAAATAACAATTTCCATTTAACATAAGACTTTCCTTACTGATGAAGGCTTAAATAGGTATGTAAAAGAATAACTATACTTTTTCTTTATGAAGAAAACGGTTAATGTAATGACTAAGTAATAGAACTGCCTTCTTCAGAGATTGCATCATTTTTTGCAATAAGAAATTTATAACAAAAATTTTATTATATTGATTTAAGATAGATTTTGCTTTTTATTTAGTGACTCAAACATTATTCTATCTTTCTTGACATTCAATGAATATAGACAGAATGTAACAAAGACAGAATGTTACTTGTGTTCTCTAGTAAAAAAAAGTTGATAGAGAACAACAGAAAAATCCTGTCGTTTTGAATATGGAATCTGGTTCGTGAATTCATTAATTTGAATCAGATGTTATAGGAATCTTATACATTTTACAGAATCTGATAAAATATAATAGGATTCATATCCAATCAGTTGTGATGCTCGCGAAGTCAATGATAGGAAATAATATAAACTTATAGAAAATAAATTAATAACAATCTTATCGTTCTCAATTGTCTTCTATTAACTTTTTTTTACCAGTATTGACAACTGTTGACTTGTGTCATCAAATAGAAAGCACCTTTTAACTTTTCTTTTTTAATATTAGAAAGTTTTCTTATTAAGATAAAAACGAATATAAATAGGACAGAAAACATGATTAAAGTGCAAGACACTAATTATGAAACGTTGCATAAATATGATACAATCTCTGTTCTATATGGTAATACTTTTGAGGACATTTTCACGAGTGTTTTCTTCAAAGATGCCAAAGGATTTATGAATTATCGCTGAGATATCAATGAATCACAACATGACAATAACCCATATATTTTACTCTATGTGATGTTACATTATGTTATGAGAAATTATTTTATACTTTATACATACAATTGTGCTACTTCATATTGTACTTTTTAAATATATTTCTTAAAGTGTCTCTATTTTCATTAATAATAAATTTATAATTTTATTAAAATTTTTACTAAATATAAAAATAATGAATATAAATATTTACATCTTTTTATAATTTTATAGTTGCAAAAATAACTACAAAAATAATTATAATTTATGATTTTTTGATTGTAGACATGGAATCCTTCCTGCAACTTTTTGATCCACAAAACGATAAGGATTTAAGAAAGAGACAATGGGATTCTGAGAATGAAGGAAATGGATTGTCGGACTGTGACACTTCTAGCGCTGATGAGGATCAAGAAGATCGATTGCCACCAGAGCCAGAACAAGGAAACATAGAGT